ACATAAGTCTGTTAACACACAAGTTTACTTGACTAGTATAAAAAATGCATCATACGATTCATCTTACAATAGTTACTAGCTTAAGTATGATTATAACATTTGTCCTTCATTGCATAAAGGAACATGCACCATCGAGACAATCTTTTTTACAACGTTATTCGATTGATTATTTTCGTGATTGGTCTTTAGCAATACGTTGTTTCTATAATCAAGGAATAAGTGCGTGTCGTTTTATTGATCATAATATTATCTATACATTCAACATTTCTTTAGAGTATAACAACACATGTGTTTATTTTGTCGGTCAAAATGATTTATTTTACTATTTTATGAATGTTTTAGTTTATCATTTAATATTCATAATCATATATTGTCGTTCAAGACTAGCTTATCAAGTTCGCAATATATTATTGACCTTATTCGTTGTTGAATTACTAGTTCATGATCTTGTTTCTCTCAATTTATGGTGGAAAATAGATATGTTAACTGTCTATTGGTTTGTTTGGCAGTTATCTTCTCTTGTGTTCAATTGGGTGGGGTTACAACTGTTACCACCTATTCTTATCATAGAACATGGATCGTTTTGTGTGTTTTTATCAATGATGGCATGGATGGCGCACTTTATATTTTTTCGTTATCTACCTCTTACATTAAACTTATGTTTGCTTTGGGTTTCCTCAATAATAGACATGTAAGTTAATTGTTCATCCAATATTTGAAAAAAATATTTTACTTATTAATATAATCGATTTTGTAAATTCTTTTGATTATAACATTCTTGTATGTAGACTCTACAAAAGAATCTGTTTCTATAATAGTAAAATAAAAAAATAATAGACTTTCAGTAACAATCTTATGATTGATTGTTATCTTATTTTTCTAATAATATATAAAAAATTACTGGTTCACTTTCGATGCTTAACTTTCGTAACAATAGCTGCAAACAAAGAAACTTTTCTTAGTTTTAATGACTTCGTTCTATAGTTCATAAACTCACATCATTTATATTTGTTGTGGATACTTGGTGCAAAGTACTAGTTAATTTTACTCAGTGTAGCGATCAGACGAAGAGAAAAAAAATGTGGAGTGGAGAAGTGCAACGCAATTTTTTGAGAGCTGATAATATACATAAATAATTTTTTAAAAGTGGGAGGGTACCAAATTATTTTATTTTACGAGCTTTTTTCTAATAAAAGATATGATTTTCGAAAAAACTGAAAATTTTCTAAAATTCGATGTCCGTATTCTTCCCTTCATCGCCACATTCCTGGCTCAGTGTTGAGTTCTATTACAAATAGATATAACAAAAGATTATGGTAGAGAATACTGAAGAGACGATTCACGAGAGAATCAAGGCATCGAAGCATTGGTCAAAATTTAAATTTTCGATTTTTTAATTGCGCATTCGAAAAGTTAATTATCTAAAATTATCAAACTCAATTTTTTTGTTCATTTCAGTATTTGTCAGTAAAGTTATCCTTGATTGAATTTTTAGTACTATCTACCTATTGTCAAACAAATAATAGTAAATTGTGATCTTTTCTATTCATGTTGGCTCAGTAAATGAATGATACACAATATTTTAAGTAGCTTGTTTTTTCAGCTTTTTATGCCCTATCTTTTGGTCCAGTGCATGAAAAAATTTTTTGACTTGTAAAAATATAATTCTAGTACACACTTATAGAAAAATTTGCCATTATTTTCTTAAAATTAGGCAGATAGTTCTAAAAAGTCGATCAAGGACAACTTTACTATAAAACATCGAAATGAGAGAAAATTTTGGATTTGATAGTTTTAGATGATGGCTTTTCGAATGCATATAAAAAAATCAAAAATTAGAATTTTGATCAGTGTCTCATATATTGGAGCGTTTCTTGGTATACTCAAAGTCTCTGTTAATTCTCATATTGTTTTAAGTATATTTTGTTTAGAACGACTGACATGTCTATTGGATTTAGCTATATTTAAATGCTTGAGAGTACCTTGATACACAAATAAGTATGTTCGATATTATCTGTTAGAAAAAATATACATTTGGTACACTCGAATAGTTTCATAGAAATCAAGATAATAGAACGTAATAGAATTATTCACTTAAGCCATTGGAATCCATTAAAACTTTTACCAAGAATTTCTTCGGACTTAATCTTTTTTTTCTATTAGTAGCAATTTTGTTGATTATCACTAGGTATCTTTTATCAAGACTAACTCAAATTTCCATTTAGATTGAGAATTTTTCTTGCAAGTTATCATTAGAACTGTATGAAATAGTTCAAATGGCAAATATAGAATTGAAGGTGTTTTTTTTATTGAAAGTCTTGAATTTTATTTTTGCTTCATTATGTAGATTCATGTGCTTACATCATCGAGGTTTATTTTTCGAGTCAAATTTGGTCAATCAAGAGCGGAATAGAAGAGAAAAGTGTTATTCAGGTATCTATTATGTTAAAGGTGTTGATAAATGGAAAAAAAGTGCATCGCTTGGTTTTGGAGACATTTTCATCTACAATATGTTGGTCTTACTCGCTCTTCCACCATCTTCGTCGCTAATAATAAAAATCTGCGTGACATTCGGATCCATAATTAGTATTCAAGTCGGTGCTTTGCTTACGGATTGGTTATGTTTTCTGCTGAAAAAGTCATCAGCTCCTGGCTTGCCATTACCAATGATTACTGTTTCAATATATATTTTCATTATCAATATTATTATTTCAAAAAATTTCAATCGATGTATAGAACTCTAATTAATTACTAATTATTGTGAAGCGAATAAACTATTTTCTGTGAAAAAATGAAAAACTCCGATTCATCCATTGACTTACGTGACATTTTCTCGTAGTTGTATTTTTTTTTGTTAGCCTTACGTAAATATCTTTTGAATAACTTGCTCAATTGAAAATATGTTTTTTTTCTTAATATAAACAATCATTCATATTGTTTTCTTTTGTCAAGCGGCTCATATGATTGATGGATGAACGTGATTTAATAAAGAAATGTAATAAAATAGTAAATGGGGATATATGTATAATAAGGTGTTTTGAAGAAGACAGATGTACAAAAAACTAACTTGTAACCATGTTCGAAGCTTAATTTTCAATGGTTACCTTCAAGTATTGATGTGTCGGTGATCAAAGCTTAGATGAAGCACTAAATTGAGCCTTTTCTAAAGGAAAAAGGAACATCAGTTTTTTGACCAGATGCCTATTTCCAGTTTCAGTATATAGCCCTTAAACAAAATCGTTGCAGTCAATATTCTTAATATACCATTACTATAAAAATATCTTTCTAACAAAACAATTATATATTCTGAAAGTATTCAAAGTTTTCTATCAGAAGTCCAAATGGTCTAGGTTAAAGTCGACCTAGCTCAATACATGAGCTGAAAATTTTTGGAGAAAACCTTTGGGCAGGACCGATAGTTTTTACAACAAGTATCTATTGGTTATGAGTATTGGTTCATGGGTGAAGGTTAGCTCATCGGCCCATTTTCAGTCAAAAATTGGTATTTCTTAATTAATATCTTGTCCTTTTGACAAAGTGTAAATCTATTCTTATACGATCAAATGTTTCAAAACCAAAGGTTAAATGTATAAAAAGCAGACAGATCAATTATAGAAGTAAATTTGTATTATTCACGATGAAGAGATACTGAAGACTGTATACCTCACTCCGTTAAATAGTGCACGCTCTTTTCTCACATCTGCACGTGTATCGAGTGTTTATTTTTTATTTTAATAGACATCAATTTTTACCAATGCAGAACGAAAAATGAAATATAGACGAACACAATACTATAAAAGATTTTCTAGGAAAATGATAGAGAACCATAGGCTTACTTCAATAACACAAGTTATCGTCTTCATTTATTTTACATAAATTCATTCGAGGAAATCTTATAATAAAAAGTCACACAGTTTTAGAACCAGAAAAACTTGAAGTATTTTTCTTTCTCATACTTCTACATTTTTCAAATATAACTTAGAATCTAACTATGCATATATTTCCGCAAAATTTTCATAAATAAACATAAAATTTCACCAAGCAAACGTTTTTAATTAAATGTATCATAAGAAAATCTTCGATAAACAATGTAAAAAGTTTCGCTTTTTAAAGTTTTTAACAATCATGTTTTATACTATTATTCAACCTTTTTTTTCTATTGACATAAAATCCTAAAAATCACAAATTCTTGATTTCTTGCAATGTTTGTACACTTCAGTTTTCTTTCTATAGTTTACCTGAATATTATACAGCAAGTGACATTGCAAAAACAAGAAAAAAACATTAATATGTATTAGTATTTCTTTGTATTTTGTACTTGCAGTACCCGATAGTTGAATATGATTTCTTAGTAGCTACATAAGACACCTTTTAGCTACATAAACAAATATCAATTCTTTCATTTTACAATACTTAAAAGTTATAAATCAACATAAAAGAGAAGTAGAAAAAAGAATGATTTAGTAAAAGACAATCTTTAAATGAATGTATAATTGAACGTCTTCATAAGAACTTCTATCTGCCTACTCTCTTTCTCAAGCTTACTGGCAATCATAAAGATCCATCGAGGTTGGAAATCACTTTTCCTAAATCGGGTACAAATTCATGCAATTGTATAATCTCCATAGAGAAGAAGCTACTGCTGCTTCGATACCTGATTCCACGTATCCATAATTTCTACTTGGAATAGTTCCTAGAATACAAATTCGATTTATTGCCTTTTTGAAATATTTCGTTTGTCATTGTTTCTTTTTTTTTCAAATAATTTAGGTACCGATGAATATTATTGCAATTGATTTTTTTTTCAAATAATCAATTTACAATATTCGAGTAATCTTATAGAAAAAAAAAAGAATTGATACTGTCATTTTCTAACACATACACAAGAAGAGAGCGAAAAAAAAAATATACATCTATATAAAAAATTACATAACATATTTGACATCAAGAAGGATATTTCTAGTACAAAGAAAAAAATAATATCTGACTATGAACATAAATTAAAGTTTTAATCGATCTAAATCAGGTAAATCAATAAATTGTTGATGTTCATTTCTCTTTTTATATTCAGCACTAAGTTGTTTCATTAATTGTGGTGTAGATAAATATGGATTAGCTTGTTTCATTGTTTGAAAATTTTCTTGAACATATAAATTATATTTATTAAGTGTTTTTTTTGGTGTTTGTTTTTCTTGTTTTGTTTCATTTTGATTATGATTTATAATTAATTGAAATCGTCCTATACATTTACCACAAAAATCAACATCAAGATTCAATGATTTTGAATGTCGATAAACTCTAGAAACAAAAAAAAAAACTTAATAAAAAAAAAATACAAACAAATCTTACTGATGTTGACATTGAATACAACGATAAATAAATTTATAAATAATATCATATGTATGTTTTACTGAAACTAACGGTAAATAAGGATAACATCGTTCAATCATACGTGTCCATTGGCGCCATAAAGGTCCATGACCATGTTCCATAACACCATCAATTAAAGTCACAGCTGCATGACACATTTCATGTAAAAGAGTATCACGACAACGTTCTAAATTTAATAATTACAAGTTTGCTCTTTCTATTACTAAATGAAGTTTTTTTTTTCTTTACGAACCAGGTGAATCACAAACTTTATGTGAAAGTGTAATTACAGCAGTACGTGTTGTTCGTCGAGTTGTACAATGACCAGCAGTAGCTGTTAAACGACCACTCCATATTACACTGATTTTATCTGATAGCTGAAAAAATATTCAAATAAAAAATAAAAGTTATTAGCACAATCGCTGCGGTATTTAAATTGTGAAATAGGATTTAGCTTCTGTTGCTAATCGCACGAAAATTTCTTTATCCTTTATATTTTGGGACATATTTTTTCACCATCGTTTTACTTAACCCTTTCGTGCTGGAATTTTTTTCAGTAAGAAATGTGTCCGTATCTAATAGAAAATTAGTTTTATCATAGCCAGTAAAAAGCTCGTGCGTCTGGAAGGAAAAGTAGCTTTCTCAATCATTGAAAATTCTTTAAGTCAATGATTTCCACCTTTTATAATATAATTTTTATTAGAAATGTTTCAACGTGTGATAGGTTTCAAAACATGGTACTATGCATAAACCAACATTGCACTACTTGCACTCGTAACTGGTTTTTTTTCCTTGTTTGGAGCACAGATTGTGTGGCTGCAGATAGAGCAACGTCTTCGCCTGTCGTTCGAGCTTTTCACTTTTGATGGAAACTGTCGTGTTGTTATGCGTACAGGCGTGTTAGTAGATGGTCGGCCTCGACTGTCTGCTCTTTGAATACCGGATTGTTTCACAAGCGCTCGAACTATTTCCAGTCGAAAATCGAAAAGAGCGAGATATCAAGCAAATGGAAATAGGATTTTTTGTACCACTTCAACGATTTGCACATATGATACTGACGGATGGTAGAATAGGAGACAAAAACGCACAAGTACAAGTCCTACAGATTTAACAAACTACTTCTTTCAATTTTTTTCGACAGACGAAACAAAGCGTTAAAAGGTTCGCATTAGAAACGCATAATTACTGTAAAATTATCATCACTATTGGTTTTTCTGTCCTTGTAATAGATAGAACTCCTCAAATACTCGTATCAAATCGTACTTGGAGTCATATTACTATGGGCATATAATGAAAAATCTCGCCGTCTCATATTTGTGACATGCGACACGAATGGGTTAACTCTCTAGAAACGTAGTAAGGAAATAATTCATATAGTATAACTTCGATCGTATGTCAACAACATCTGTCATGATCTGAGGGGAATGGGTCGAAATTTTTATTCCTATACTTTAATAATCGTGTTTCAAAAAAAAAAAAAAAAGATAAAGAAGATTTACTTGAGAAGAAAAAATATCTTGATTGAATATTGCTAAAAGTTTATTAGCTAATTCTTGTCGTTTTTCTTTAAGTTTAAATGCTGATCGAATAAAATAACTGTATGAAAAAAAAAAAATTAATAAAAAAACTAAGAACAAATGAACATACGGTTTAGCATCAGGATGTTTATCTTCGAATGATATACGTTCAGAAAGTGATTCAAGAAAATTAAAAAGAATATTTTTTTGATCATCTTTTTTCATTAATGATCGATGATCAGTTTTTACTGAAGAAGAACTCGACGATGTAGGACTAGATGATTGATCGGATGTATAAATTTCAGATTTTAATCGAATTCTAAAAGAAAATTATATTCAATATTTTTTTTTTGCAGATTTTATAGAATTTTACGTTAAATTTGTATTTGCTGATAATAAATGATTTTTTTCATCAGACTCTTCAGATGTATAAACATCAGCTAGTCTAAGAAAAAAAAAAAAGAAAAAGATTAAATATTATATCTTTATGGAATTTTTACTTTTGCCATAATGGATCATTATGAATTAAAGAATTCGCTTTTGTTTTAATATCTAATGAATGTTCTTTGATATTTTCATTGGAAGACGATGATGAATTATCAATAAAATCTTTTAAACTAGAATTAAAATAAAAGAATTGATATTTTAATAAGGAAATAAATGAAATAATTAATACTTATTTCTTTTCTTTCTTCGACGTCGTATAGGTGTATTTTGTTCATGTTCAAATACTTTTGGAGTTTGATGTTCTTGTAAAACTATCAAATAAAAAAAATATATATTAATATTCCATTCAAGATTTGACACTTTCATATAAAGAATATTTCACAACAATGAAACTATTCTGCCAATAATATTGAATTAGTATTAGAACGCAATGTTCAATTTTACTACACGAGATAATTGAAAATATTTACAATACAACACTACACATTTGCAACATGAAACATGAGTCTTTTAAGAAAACAAGAAAGATTTCACCTGAAAATTTAAATCTTAGTAGATTTTATAGAGCTTTTAGATAGAATACACTTCAGTATTTACTCATAATCGTATTTAATAAAATAAACTTTTTACTAAAATCGATAATTTTCAATATTATTGACATATGATTTCATCATTGATTGGTATACAGCTAAAACTCGCAACGAGCAAAGATTGATAAATAACAACAACCTTCGAAAATGAAAATTACGAACTATCTTTGTTAATTTATCTTCAGTTATTAATCAATAACTGTTACATTCAAAAATATTTAAAAAAAAAATGATTTGAATCTTATATGAAATTACATTGTTCAAATGCTTGATCATCATCATTGTTACTGTCGATCGCTCGTTGATTACTGATCATATCCCTAGAAAATAACAAAAAAAAAATCAAGATAAATGTTTCAATTGACTTCACATCTATTTATAAAACATTCTATAAAGACATCAATACATTTTATAATTAAGGATTTAGAAGAATGTTCATCATCTTCTTAGTGTTTTATATGATGATGATGAAAATGAGCGGCATATTTGTGTTAGTCTTACGAGAACACTTCTAAGTGTCGAGCTGCTTTTAAGGTGGAACTACTTACATTACGTAGGTTCTAATGAGCTATGAATATCGTGAGAAAAGTTCAGGTCAATAGTTTATTACTACCGAGGTACTCTATTTTTCAGCAGAATGCCGTGTGCCTGTCAGGAACACCATGAAAACTAAGTTTCGAATTTCGACTTGAAACTTTGCATAGAAATACGCCTTAATGAGGGATGTTTCTCATGCAGCTCATATACAACGGCAAATTTCGATATTCTTGTTTTAGAATAGATGCAATCCAAAAATCTGAAATTTTCAAAATAAACTATTCTTGTTAAGGACTATCTCTTTCCAAAGTTTCAAGTCGAAATTCGAAACTCAGTTTTTCTAGTGTTCCTGAGAAACCACGGTATTCTACTAAAAAATAGAGTATTACGGCAGCAATAAACTATTAGTTTGAACTTTTTTTTTCAGGATTTGTTAGAATCTACGTGACGCACATGGTCACGTCTCAAAAGCAGTTTGACAATTAGAAAACTTTCCTCGTTCGATGTAACATAAAGAAGTTTGCATAATATTAATGTTAAAGGAAATTTTCTTATCATCGACAATATTTCTGTTGACCTTGTTTTTACTGAAAGAAAATTGTAGTCAAAAGAAATAATCGATGATTCTCAACCGATGTATTTCTCAGTATTAGTAATATAGAAGAAGAATGATTTAAAGAAGAGGGAGAGTTTAATTATTATGATAAAAACTATCGAATATCTCAAGTATTCAATGATGAAAATACCTTCGCGATTGACGTGTTACTATTTTGTTATTGAATTGATCTTGTGGAACAGCTAAAACACAAGCAAAAAATATTTGATCATCATCAGTATCTTTTTTTTCGTCATACTTTTCTCATGCTTTGGTTGTTTCATATTTATATCGGAATTAATTGAAATTATTTCAATTGGTATAATTTCGTGTGTTTGTATTTGATGTTGACTATTTTTTGTACATAATTTTCTCCATGGATTTGGACTAATAGGTTTTCCTGTAAATGCATTAATAATTGGTTTTGATATTTCTTTAGTAAATGTACGATTATGATTAATAGTTGGTAATAGATTTTTTTCTAATTCTTCATCATCAAGATTAATAGATGGAATTTCTGAACTAGCTGTAAAATTATGTTGAGCTCTATCAAATATATTGGAATATGAATCTAATGATGATAAAGTTGAAAAAGAAAAATCTTGATGATCATCTGTCATTCTCTTCTTGTCAAAATACAAAAATGATATTTTTTTTTCTTTATTAGATAGACGATGGTCAGTTTATTGATATGTCCATTAGAATCTTATTTGTTGATTAGTTGAACGTTTCTTATTTTTTCTCGCTAGATATCGCTAACTGTATACAATGACCATACATAAAAACAAGAAATCAACAAAATACAAGATATAAAAGTTTTTTCTAAAAAACATATTTATTGGCGAGGTGAAATCTTCATCCACATTCCATATTTTGGTCTAGAAAACAATGGTTTTTTTCTTAGATTTTTTTTAAAAATAAATCTAACCTCGTTGTAATAGTCATATCCGGAACATGTTTTTGACCAGGTATAAGTTCAAAACGAAATCGTTTAATAATCATTGCTAACATAATTTTTGCTTCTAACATAGCAAAATTTTGTCCAATACATGAACGAGGTCCAATTGAAAATGGTAAATATGTATCAAGATGATGATGATAATGATGATGATGTTCATCAAATCTTGATGGATCAAATTTAAATGGTTCATGCCAATATTCTTCTGAACTATTTTATTATTTAAATAAATATAAGTAAGAATAATATTAACTTACTGATGAAGCATATATAAATTAATAAAAATATCAGTTCCTTTTTTTATATGAATATGTTTTCCATCACTAGCAATTAAAGTATTATCTTCAATTGCTGTACGAAATAATGATGAAACTGGATGATTATGTCGTAATGTTTCTTTTAATACAAGTTCTGTATAAATTAAAAGAGAAAGTGTTGATGCTGTTATTTCTTCATTATCATTCAATATAGAATCAATTTCTGTTTCTAATCTATGACATATATCTGGATTATTGGCTAAATTGTATAATGTCCAAGTCATTAAGGTTGCTGTTGTTTCATGACCAGCAATTACTAAATTATGAAATAAATTCAATAGAATATGTAGCTAATGAATAATTATACCAAATGTTAAAGCTTCTTCAAAAAGTTCTTCGTCAGTAAATTTACTTGTTTTATCATTTCCATGTGCAGATAAAAGTAAATCAAGTAAATCAGGTCCTATAGAAATACAAAAATAAATAAAGCATAGATGAAATCCTAAAAAAACAAACAAACACCTTTGCATGCAGATTTAGTAAATCCTTTTTTTCGTTCATCAATAATGTGTTCTACAGCACGTCTAATATTTTCTTTTGATTTATCAATTCGTCTTTTACTTGGTAATGGTAATTGATTAATAATTGGAATAATACCAATCATATTGTATGTTCGTTCTCCAATATCTTCAAATATATTTGTAATACCTTGATAAATAGTTTCTCGTATATGTTCATCTTTCATTAATCCACTCCCAAAGACACATCCAGTAACAATATCTAATGTTAAACCTGTCATTTCTTTATGAATATCAACAATTAATATATTATCTTTATTAGTTGTATTAGTAATATTTAATAACCATTTATTAAGAAAATTCGATGTTATTTCAATCATAAGTGAAATCATAGAATTTAAATTTTGATGTTGAAAAACAGGTGATATAAGTCGTCGATGTTGAGCATGAATATTATCTTCAGCCATTAAAAGATTTTCAGATCCTAATACAACACCAAGAACAAGTCGCATTATAGGAGATTTATGATAACAACGAGCATTTGTTTTCAATACACCTTGAATTAATAAAGGATCACTAATAACTAGACGAGCTATTGGACCAAATGATACATGATAATAACTACCAAATTTTTTTGTCATTTCAATGGTACGAGATATTGGATCGTCATCAAGAATAGAACGACGTATACTAAAAATTTCACCAATCATAGGCTTGTATCGTCCAGGAATTCCTTGTGCCCAGAAATCTTTGTGTATACGCCATGGATTAAATATCCAAAATTTTAGTAAACGATAAAAAACACATAAAAATACAACGATTATAAAAATAGAGAACAACATTGTCACTGTTTAGAACAGAAAAGTAAAAGACACGTGCTTTGATCGTTTGCTTAGAGCAAAAAATGACGATCGATGCAATGCATTCTCCATAGAAAGGTAACCTTGATATATAAGGTCCAAGAGCAGCAAAAATGACAATTCGCTTCAGTGACTTGGATGTCATTGTATAACGTCTTATGATATATTTTCTTCTAAACCCATCCCGAAAATAAAAGTCCACTGGGTTCCTATTGCAATCAACTTTTTTCGTCTCGTACAGCAAAATCTGAAATACCGTTTTCAAAAAAAAAGCGCACTACACTTGTAGTAAATGTATTAAAATGCGTATGTGATTGTGTATGTTTAGGAGTTTCCAGAATTGGGAAACCTTGGGCAGAAGATCGAAGATTTTTGCAAAAATGTTTTATAAATTATGAAAATTTTCAAAGAATTTTTCGAAAGATTTAAAATTTTTTGCAAATTGTCGAAGAAAAAAAAGGAAATTTTCGAAGATTCGAGGGGAGAACCCATCCAGTCTAAGAATTTCTAGATGTGGATCTGGAGCCGATTCGAACCTGATTTGTTAAATGTTTTTGGACCTAAGCCTCATGGCAAATAGATTTAGATATTATAGTCAAAAATAGTGTTACTATTTTTCTTCTAGTTTTCTTATAAATAAATTAAACATTTTTTGAATAAAACAGAAAAAATATTTTATCCATCAAAGCTTTTTTTCCCATCCGGATATGAGCAGTAAAAATTTTCAGATCCGAACCTGAGTGGGTTCGGAGCAATCCCAATGGGCTCTATCGGGAGGTGACCCCCGACCATTCCCTCTACTCGAGACACCCCTATGTATCTTACGAATTAGAATAAAGAAAAGAAAAAAAACCATTGTTTAAAAGCAGAGTTATTGACTTATCACCACTTATGTACGGAGTTCATCAGTCCAACAAGAAAAATATTTGAAGAACGAAAGAATTAGATTGACGAGCACTTCAGCATTTAATTGAAAACAGTGAATATTATCAACAAAATTATTCGCGTTCTTGATTTCTCTGTATGCACATATTTCGAGCTCACTGGACTTCTCTTCTGGAGAAGGGGAAGAGGGTAATAAGCTTGTAAACTAAATCTTTCTAAGTTTTTTTTTAATTATTATTAAATGCATTTGTGAAACTTTTAAAGTTATTAATTATTTCATTTTCTTTTTTAAAATTGATCAATGTTTTTAGAAAACATAAAGGTGATGAGTAAATTTCAAAACAATCTATGAAATATAAAATCAATATATTTTAGAAACAAAAAATTTTTCTAATTGATTTCAAGTTATTTTCTCGTCTTATCTGAAGATTTGCAAAGTGGTCATCAGTAATGGTCAAGCGTGACCATGACTGTAACTACATTTAGAAAATCTTCATGTTTGTAACCGTGACCAGGCATCTCATTACCATTTGAATCGCAAAAACCAAAGGCATGCAGAAATCAAAGGCTTTCTCGAAATTTTCAAAATTTTTTCAAAAAAATTTATGACTTATTGATGTAGTATAGTCAATTTTGACGACATTAGTTATTTAAGAAAGGATGGTCAAACGCTTTATTGACGTGGTCTTTACTGAATCTGAAAAGTCTTCGAGATATAATGAAAAAACTGAAGTCATGTAGATCTCTATTTACAAATCGATTTATCAAAGTTATCATACTATTTTTTTTCTCCTTATACAATTGTTTGAATTAACAGTTCAGCTTCAGATGGATCCGTAATGTTGAATATCGTATCACATTCTACCAACAATTTTTTGTAGCTGAAACGAAAAACAAATGAAGGTATGTTGATGATTGGACTAGAGAGCTTACTACTAGCAAGGATTATATTTGAGTATAAATCTTGTCGTATATCAATGTCATAAATTATTATGGGTTTGTGGATCATTTTGTTAACTCCTATAATTCAAAAGAGAATAGAATAAGAAAAGAAATAATATAAAACTGATCATTGATTTTTTGCAAGATATTTTGGTTCGAAAAGATCTTCTAAATATTTGAGTGTATCTTTGTTATTTACATATTTATAGGTATTTGATGTATTTAAACGTGAAAATACAATCATCATTTGTCTCAAGTTTGATTTTCAGTTCAAATTTACACAAATGTTTTCTTCTTTATTATAAATCTTGTATCTTCCTGATTTGTCATATTAAATGTAAAGTCATCACGTTCATATAATAAACTAATGAGACAATCAGTAATATCACCACTAGTAATATTGAGCTGCAACGTAGCATTCGATATAGCATAAACTCGAAACAAAAAACCGAGTGTATAAATTTAAAACAAAAACAATAGGAAAAATAATCTTCATTAACAGATACTGTATGTGTAACATGATGTTCATTATTCAGTACGAAGTCAATCGCATGATTAGTGGCAGTCAAGGTTAATATGACTGAATTAGCCATATAGATTCCGAAAACAAAAAAAAACCCAACGTTTACTTTTATTAGCGATCGTCATTCTCAGTCGATAGTCCTGTCGGATGTATTGAATTTCTCGAAAATAATTTTTATGTTTAATCAAAACTAGTAGTTTAAAATTTTTCATGAGATTTTTGAAGATATTTTTTTCTACCAAAAAAAAAATTCAATAACATTAGAAATATTATTTTTAGTTTCTACTATTCAAACTTTTTTCAACTAATCGTAAAGAACAAAGACTGAATATGAATTCTTATTCATTTAATGTACACGAGCAAATTATTCATCAGTTATCTAAAAGTTAAAATCAGTTTTTTAATGATTTTTTTCTTTACACTTAGTTATAATACTTATCTTGTGAGATAATGTAAATTTAAAAGTAATATTTCATTCGACTGATCGTTCTTATACAAATCGATACTGTATTCAGACATGAAGTATGATATTACAATAATCTATTTTTCTATGAAGTAATTGTATTTATAGTATTAATATATTGTTTAAGTTGAAAATTGATAAAAGAATATTCCATCGGTATTTGAACGAAAAAAATTATTTGTAGTGCGATAAATAAATTCCTAGCAATGAAATGAAGAGTGTGTGTTATTTTAAACTTTTCTCATTAATTTTTGCAATTTGCAGTGAAATTTTCTTTTATTTCAATTTTTTATATGTTAAAAGTTAAAATAAAAGTCTATATATGTGAACATCAGTTGTGTCCATTTCAACGATAACGTTAATCGTCTTAATCGCCGCCACCACCACCCCCACCACAGCCACCTCCTCCCCCTCCTCCTCCTCCACCACAACCACCTCCTCCTCCACAACTACCTCCTCCTCCACCTCCACAACTTCCTCCACCTCCACAACCTGATGAGCCTCCACCGCCACCTGATGTAACTCCACCACCAGCTGCTGCGATGCCACCAATACCACCACCACTTATTACTCCCCTCCGTCTTCGGTTTCTGTTGATACCAAATAATGCGCCAAGTTTAGAAAATAAAATGTTAAAGAAACCGTCTTGCTTGATAGGAGGTGATGGAGGATAAAACATAGGACGATTCATCATCATGTGTCCAAAATGTAATTGAGATCTTGGATATTGCATAGCAGTGGGTGGCATTTGGTGAAAACGATGCCGTCCATGTGATGAATGATGAGAATGACGATGATACATAGGGTTTATTCTTTTTTATTTGTAACAAATATCATCTGACTATATATATGCTAAAAGGTAGCATACGTCCTTTTACTTTCTTTTTTTTTTTACCTTGTTAATGAGTCAGAAAAATGATAGCAACCTGCGAAATAGTAAGCATTTATTAATTATAACTCTCATGCATTTTATATTGGACATTTGTTTATCACGTTGATGGTTACACATCAATGATAGAAAAAAAGAGGAAGAGGAGAATATATATAAAAGCAGAGCAAATAATGTTTGTATAAATAATTATGGTTGATGGCGTAGCAAAATAAATAACAATGATCGAATCAAACCGATTTTTACTGGTTCAAATTTGATTTAGTTTGATTTTGATCTCACATTTACAATATCGAAAGAAAATTTTAAACAAATATTGATATCTTCAGTTTTTGATACAAATCGTTTTCGAGATTCCTTTCTTTTTAAAACAAACTTTAATACCTAAAACAATCGATAACAGATTTATCGTTTGACCAAAAACTTCAACTAATGCAAATAGAATTTTTATATGTGGCGATTGATAAATATAGGATGATTAATACCTTTTATGAAATACATTAGTATAACATAGTTCTATCAAACATACATCGATAACAAAGTCTCTAAAATATATTCAGACATCTGCTTGAATGAGAAACTACAGTGATTTGGTATAGAAAAATTACAGTTTGAATAGATATTTTTTTAATGTAAATATCAAAACAGTTCATATTTTACGATACTTCTATAAGATAAAATCAACGAGCCGAAATATAGTTTTATCATCGTCAATCTTTTTCTTTATGTTGTCACTTTCTATCCATTGAAGACTAAGAGATTGAATCAAAATATGTTTCGACATAAGTACATTTATTCTATTCAAAAATTATCTTCAAAATGCCAAATGAAGATTATAACCTCATTTAGTAGGTAATAATATCTTCAGTTGTTTACATCAATTTAATAATGATTGTTTATCGTTAGAAAATGATAGCGGTTATGATGATATACTTAAATTCAAATTAAATTCATAATATCGTCAAAATAACTCGAATTTATCTCGTACAATATAAAATCAACGATCCATAATAAAGAATCACAATTTGAGTAATGTCCAGAATATGAAAATCAATGAGCAGAATTTCAATCTTCAAGATCGTTCTCGTGTCTTACAAATATAATCTGATGTAAATCTTTAACAATTCATTTATATTCTTCACATACAAATATTTTATAAAAATTAATGAAAGAAAAATTTTAGTTAAACGAAAGTAGTATATATCAAGAAAATTATTTTATAGTCCTGAACGGTATCATTTCATATTTCTTTATAGACATTATTGATTCAAAAGGGTTTCATTGAGCTAAGAAATTGTATAATCTATATATATATATTACATGTTCCACTGTCATGTTACATGATATGCATGATTTAATATACTCTATCATTTTTACAATAGTTCTTTTCAAATATCGACTATTTTCTTATCAGTATGCACTCTTTCATATCAAAAGTTTCAATGGTATCGCATAAATGACACAATACAGGAAGCAGGAAAGTAACATATGTTCCTCTCCTCTAATTAATAATGCTGACTTTTATTTGATTTTACAGCTATCCATTTGTGAACAAAGCACATCGACCGAAGAAATTCACCTAAAACGCGCAAGATTTCTCCTACTAATCAGTTCATACACTACTTTCATACAAAAGAATCGTAATAAAAAATAACTAAATATTTGAATATAATGACCATTATTAACTATTGCAAACAGGGTTGCAATCACATAATTGATCGCTATGAATTGAATATATGTAATTACTGCTCAGGCATCTATGATTCGGTCCCAATATTCGAGTTTGCTTTCCTTCAATATATACAATGATGCAATGGTATTAGTTTTCTTCAATAATCTGCGGTTAGAAAATAGAAGCAAGCTCAGTTTTGTAAGATTTTCACGCTAAATTAATCATATTGAAAACAACAACAAAAAAGAAATAAACAAGTTCTTACACAACTTCACACGTTAATGCATAGAAATCAGATCAGATTGAAAGTAACTTGATTGTGAGTTATGCACTAACGATCTTTTACTCATTTAGAACAACAAACATGCACAGCAATAAAAGTCTATAAAGATAAATAAACTTGGGAAAAATGAGTAACATTATATTAGATAATTTTAACCTTTTGAATTTGCATTGAAATCTTTCATATTCAAACGATAAGAAGAATTTCAAAATTTATCTATGCTAAAGTTTTCGATTTTCCATATGTTATTCAATTTTAACAGAAGAATATCTGAAAATTAAATAAAATGATATAAATATTCTTAACTAATATATGAATCCCAGGTAACATCTGTAGCATCCCAGATAATATCTCTAGCATTCCAAGCAACATCTATAGAATTCCAGGTAACACCTGTAGCATTCCAGATAATGATTGTAACATCCTAGATGATACCTCTAGCATACCAGAAGATAGTTGTAGTATTCCAGGAAGTATTTAAACTTGAAACTTGAAATTTCAGTTGAATTGAAATTTCAAGTTTTACACTACTTGATAATGAAATTCTTCCTATTATCAAGTTATTGTCGTGCGTCATTTATTGAAGATTTCTCTGGAGCGATCACTAGCCTATCAAGCATGTAACAATCTCCGATTGAGTATGACTATTGGTCGTCGTCATCTCTATTCCGCAACAAAAGCATTTATTCATGCATTCACTTTTTGTACACATTTCATTAACATTCAGTTTTAGTCACAAACTTTGATCATCGGTAGACGAGAGAGATGCCATAATATCTCTAACTCGAGTATCGAAATTCACAACATCACCATTAGAATATTCGCTAAATAGATTCGCAGTATTCGTATGCCGTTAATTTAACGATTTTGAGTCAATGTAGCGTAACAAGATGAATACTCCACTCGATACTCAAACATCTATAGAATTGAGGATTTTGAGTGAATTTGGTGTAACGAGTTAGGTATCTGCTTTGTCGGATATCGTGACTTACAACTCGTTATTACCCAGCGTATGGATATTACGACATCTCTGGTATTACAAATAATAAATAACGAACTTCTATCATTTCACTGGTATTTCGTAACACAACACGTTCAGCAACTGATGTTGAAAAGAGATATCTTCAAAAAATCTAATCAAGCATGTTGATACCAAAACTGTTTTTTACAAAAATACATGTGTTTGTCAATTTCTTCTGGTGTGAATTTAACTTTTTTTATTGTTTCTTGATATTGAATCAATCGAATGATGCGAGTACTCTTTCGACGATCACATAGGACAGATGTTGATCGGTGTATATTGAAATAGCTTAGAAAAATCTCATATCTGTATAATTAAATTGTATAGAATAATTGTAAAGAATATGTTTTTCGAAAAGATAATTCACCCGAAAATCATTTATTTTCATCCTTTTGTTTTGAAATGATTTTATTTGTAAGATTAATTTATCTCCTTTTTAATTAAATTAAATTATTGCTTCATAAAAGTGACGATCAAAACAAAAAAAACCCAATGAGAAAATGTTTATTCTTGTTAATGTTTTAACAGATGTTGAAGAGAGTGAATTATTTCATGATGTAATATGTTATACATTCGCATCGTCGTCTTTTTGTTATTTCTTATAAGAAGACTTCTCCGCGTTCTTCGAATGGTAAACAGAAATTTTTTTTTGGTTTTTAATCGTTAATATAGTCTCGAAGTACTCTTTGACAAAGCTATATAAATGAGAACTCTTGGTTGTTAATTTGCACTTTTTATTAAATTCAACTCTCGAAATCCCCAGCAGAAAAACTCACGCTGTAATTATTCTTCATATGCAAAATTCTACGAATGATAGTTTCTATAGTTGTTTAGAACATGGATTGTGCACCTTCAACACGAATGAATACGCTCAGTTTTCAATCATTTTAGTTGGAGGAAAAAGTCTTGATACATACAGGAAACTTTGTTTTACATTTTTCTCAAACTTAAGTTTCGAACAAAAAACCAACGAAGGTTTTCCCTTTTTTCTCACACATCGTACATTCGATTGAACTCAATTTTTTTTCTGAATACTTTGATCAAATTGAGATGCATAGTTTTTCTTCAAAATATTATTTCTACAAAATTCAACAATCTTTAAAAAACTTACTTTCATTGAGAAAAACACATTTTTCGATAGCGCTTCCAGTGTGTTGCTTCTCCTGAGTTCCAGGAACGATTTATTGAAATATAGTTTTTATCTTGAGATTTTTATATAATTTTGTATATGTGTATTATCTTAAAATTTAGCATTATATGGTCTTAATACTCTCATGATATTATATATTTATATATGTCTTACGATGTTTCGCTAATTTGTTCTTTTGATTATACATTATGGATATATTCTTTTTCTTATTCATTTTGTTTTTCCAACCTTTTTTATATTGTACTATTAATACCATCAACAGTTGAAAATGGTCATCTGAAAGACCAAAAATTCGCTATATAAATATATATTAATTATTGATAAAAAAAAAACATTTCTACATATATTCTTGTTTTTTTCATACGCATGCAAAATTCAGGTGAGAAAATTGTGAAAGAAAAAAACAACATGCACCCGAATTCGATTCTAGTTGTCATAAAAAAATTGCACCTTAAAAAATGAAGTATAGAGTCTCGCAGGGAAGCCATTATTGGCTTTTATGACTCTCATATTTACCTGAATGAAGCATCTAGGAATTTCGAGTGTATGACAACTTTTGCTCTACTTATCGAAATTGATCTATCTTGAAAGTTTCATACTTTTACTTTCGTTCACTAGAATATAAAAAATAAATTTACTCTTCAAAATCAGAATAACTTCATGTATTGGAAATCAATATGTAAAACGTAGAAGTATTATGCATTTACCTTTGAAGAATTTTCTTTAAAGACAATATAGTTTCTTGAAAAGTAATCATTTCTCTCTTCTACATTTCGAATTCACTACTTTTACTAAAGGAAAATTTTGAATTGCTATTACAGTTTAATTTATTAGCATTTAATATGGAAATATCTACAATTGAATAAGTTTGTTATATGTAATATTTTTGAGAATGAAAGTGACATTATTTGTTGGAATATATTTAGTGACACATAAATGTAATCGACTAAGTTTTACCTTTGTATTTATGACAATAGACTCTGTTCGTGTATGTTACCTTTTATATACGAAAAAAGAGTCTTTCATGTGATAAACGAAGTATGACTAATTGTGTTTGCTGACACATGTGAAGCAATAATATAAGGAGGAAAACAAAAATCGATGGACAATCCCACCCACTAATAGTGTCAATCATGCGTGATCGATATTTCTCTGCCGTGCGCTCTATGTGTAATGCTTTAGATAATTATTCATCATTCATTTGTCTTCGTTAGTAATGCATATGTGCATATGAAAAATAAATTCATCAACCATATCAAATATTTACATAATTTTTCTCAATCATCTATTTCAACCCAATATCTATAAAATACCTGGTAAATAGACATAATTTCAAACAAATCGTGTCAAACACAATTTACAGTTTATTCTTCATTATCAAGTTATAATCACTTACATGTTGAATACACATATACAATTGCTATTCTATCTTCTACTCACTTGCTCTTATATAAATGCATTTATTCCATTTCCAGTTGTTGGAGATACTGCTCAAACTACTGATAGTAATTTTCGATTTATTGATTTTTTTGAAATTTTTTTTATTTTTTTCTTCTCCTATATAGGTATTACACATACAGAAATTACACAAGCTGGTTTCATTCGTTGTCTAGCTCGTTTCTTTTATGATACACGTATTAAACCAAATAATAATAATGGAAATACGGTCAATGAACAAGAATATTTTACTAAAGAACATACTATTGATGATCTTTGTAAACATGCATATCCCCAATACAGTCAAACACAAAGAGACTTCTATTCACTTCCATTAAAATTTATTCTTGATTATATTATGACACAAAATGCTCTGGTAGATTTTAATCCAAACACAAAGAAATTTTCACCAGCACATTTTGATAGTGAAGCATTTATAAACGGTAGTCGACGTATTCTTCAACTTAAACAAACAGGTAACTTTATTAAAATGATTTTTCATGAATCTTCTGCATTTGTTTTTTTGTTTCAATTAGTTGTTAATGATACACGTAATGTCAATAAAGATTTGACTAATGCACGTGAATCACTTGGACGATTGCTTCATACATTACAAGATTTTTATTCACATTCGAATTGGATTGAAATGGGTAACACAAATATTAATAATCTTATTGGAGTCAAAGAAAATATTGGTTCAGTTGCTGATCGAAATCAAGCAACATGTACAAAAAATGGTTGTACAAAAATAGAAAAGAAATGTGTAAGCAACATAAATACTATTACTTTTTTTTTATTTCTTGAATTATTTTGTTTTTTAGACTTTTTGGCAACTAGTCACATTGAGAGCTTGTCCTCTTGTATATTATGATTGTAAAAATAATATTCTACCAGAAATTAATAATCAAAAATTACTTACAAGTGGATATCTCTTTAATCAATTCGGTGAAAATAATGGTCCCGTCAACAAACCAACAACTGTTGAAAAATGTTCTCATGGTGGAGTACTTGATGATTCATCGCTTGTACCCGCTCTTGGTGGAATTAACAAAGATGCTAATAGTTTCATCTTTTCGCCTCATTCTAATCTTCAGTAAGTAAATAAATCTTATGTCAACTTTTACATTGAATATAAAAAAATATCAGAAGACTTTTTGACAGAATATAATTGATGTATCTTAAATAGATCTTAAAGACTTTAGATTTGTTTGTTTTTTGTTTTTAGTTTTCAAGCTGTTGATTTAGCTACGAAAGCGACCGAACAAATTCTTAATGATATACGCAAAGATGTTGGAGATAATAATTTCGATCGACTTTTTGCTATTAATCCAACACAAGCACAATGTCAAGCTGCATCGGATGCAGTTAACAATGGAAAGAAATTTCGATTTCTTACATTATTTCTTTCAGTTAGTGTGAATGAAAGTGATAGTCTTCTGACGGATTTAAAAAATTGGATCACAAAACGTGTTAATATGATTAAATCAATATTAAGCATTTTATTTTCTGGCCAGAAAGATCTTTCTATACCAACATTTGATTTAAGTGACCTAGATATTAATGTCAAAGATGTGAATAATTTTCGTGGAGCACCTTATATTATTGGAAGTGAAAACACCACACGGAAGAAACGTTTAATTGATGTTCTTCGTAATCGTCAATAGATTAATACAGACTATTCTTTTTTCTTAAAGTTTTTCTTAAATTTTTGTTTTAAAACAAGATAATTGTGTGTGTGACTATCAACGAAAAACTGTAACATAGAAATACAGAACAAAAGACAGAGATAAAAGTTTTACAAAATAAATACAGTGAACATTACAATCATTATAATCAAAGTATATACTCTGAATAAGCAAGAAGTGTCGAAGGATTGAAAAATAGAAATTTTTCCTCAATTCTTCTGTAGTTTCATGATAACCAAAATAGAAAAGAAACATAATATCCACCATACTCTTTGCTCTGGTATCTATAGCCATGAAGAAATGTATGATTGTGAAAACTATTGCAAAAAATATATTATTTTGACTATTATAAATGGCAAAACTATGAGGAAAATAATGATCAATTCTCAGTTCTGTGAGGAAACAATCACTAGCTTTGTTAATAGTTGTCTTGAATTATGCTGAATAAATTTATTATGATCACAAAATTTAGCCAGTCATTAGAAATTAAATTCCATCTATAGTAAAGATTGTTCACTTCGAAGTTTCGAGCTCGTTTTTCTGAAGCAATCACAAGAATGAGACAACTGTGAAAATATCTCGATATTAAGAAATCTAAATACTATATGAAGTCTAGTATAAAATAGTACTTTGTGTAGATGATTTTATCTTTCGATCGACAGTAGTATCCTTTTTAAGAATTGAGAAGCCTTCAGTTGTATTAAATAGTGATTTCAAAAAAAAGAATAGATCAAATTTATCAATGCTTGTAGAGAAATCATATATTTACTGGAGAAAGTCAGGTAAAACAAATCATAGATGTTGCTCAATATTAGTTGTTTTGGATTATTAGATGAAGAATTCTGAACGAGCTTGTTCTTTTTTCTTAGTATTAACATATGTGGATTGTGACAAACTAAAATAGAACTTGTTACTATTAGAAACTCGAATATTTATATGAATTTCACATTGTATTGTATGCCTTCATAGAACTGTAATAATAAATCTTTCTCAACACAACTAGTTGATTAACTAATATATTAAATGAATTACTTTTTCGCCAGTTCAATTTTATACGTTAACCATTCCGTCCAATTCGATCGAAAAAAAAATCCTACCGATTTCAAGTTTGGTACGCTCGTATGCCTAGTGGATGATGCAAAAGTTTTTGCAAAAATGTCGCTTTACTTTTCCTTGGCTAAAACAAGTTGAAGAGAAATCGAAAATACCTATTAGGAATCTGCATCGAAAGCACTTTCTAACTGTACGATCAAAAAAGTTTTAACATCTATTGGCTTCGAGTAAAAAACATATCTTTAAACACTACTAAAATATACGCTGGAAAAACATCTCAATGTAGTTGTGAGAGAAAGGAACTGTTCTCTCATTATTTTTTGATTTTCTCGCATGTAGTCCATTGTATTTTTCTGCTCTTTATTTCGTTAAATTTGCTGTTTAATTCTCTACGAACTTGATAGAAAACCGTACGAGATCGCTTTGGATAACACGAAAAAGGGAAACTGAAAACGACGCCCTAAAACCGAATGTGAAACTGATGAGGGTCTGATAAGATTTTTTCGAGATCCAAGTGTCACCATTGCTATTCAAAACAGATACAATGTTGATTCAGGATACTCGAGCTACAAGTATACCCCAGCTCTTATGTTGCCAACTCACAGAAATGGCAAAAGCGAGCACTGGCCAATACAAAATGGACATCAATCTGAAAATGATGAGAACTTCGAAGTTGTTTTTGTTTGGCAATGTTGTTTCAAAAATTTCAATAGTATTCGTTATATTGATTTCTGAAAATAGAACATATATTCTAATAGATAGAAGAGCACAACATTGTGATAAAATGAGCCGAAGGATATCACAAAATACAGAGGAATTGATCATTTTGCCACAGGCGTTTTGAACTGTTTTTCTTTTACAGTGTACATTTTAGTAGTGTTTAAAGAGGTGTTTGTTAATCCAAGTCGATACATGGTACAACTTTTTTGATTATACAGTTAGCAACCACTTTCGACGCAGATTCTTGAATAGGTATTTCCGATTTCTTCCAAACATGATTAGCCAAGGAACAATGGAGCGACATTTTTGCAAAAATTTTTGCAAAAATTTTTGCATCACCCGTTATATCATACAATCAACATTAACCAAGGCATTACTTTTTGTCGAAGCTTTGTTTGTTGCAGCTGTTGCTTTTTTATTATACACATACAAACGAATTGTGTACACCAACTGATTGTTTGTATCATGTAATTTTTTTTGTCAGATTTTTAATGTTTCTGTCATAATGAAATTTTTTTTCATAACGCCCACTGAAACAAAAATATATATTGTTAAATGTGAATTGAAGAATATATTAACTTTTTTTTCGGTTTGTTGCTGATTTTTAACTATCAATGAAGCTGAATATTTATATGCAAGTTTTGTTGTATTTATTGGTCAATTTTGTTGGTATATACGCATTTATATCACATCCACTGGTTACATATGGTATACTACGTAGCACTAGTGAGTTTTCTCTCTCTGTTCAATCATGTGAATAGAATATAATTCTTTTGTCTTTATTAAGGTATTACACACGCCGAAATTACTGAAATTGCTATCATTCGTAGTCTAACTCGTTTCTTTTATGATACACGTATTAAACCAAATAACAACAATAAGAGTTTTGTTGATGAAGAAGAATATTTAACTAGAGAACATACTATTGATAATCTTTATGGATTAGCATATCCTGAATATAATGCATTACAAATAGCATATTATTCACTTCCATTAAAATTTGTTGTTGATCTTATCATGACACAAAATGTTCTAACTGATTTTGATAATAAAACAAGTAAACTTTCAGAAGCCCATTTTGATAATGAATTATTTATAAATGCCAGTAAACGTATTCTTCAATTTCGACAAATAAGTAATCTAATGACATAAATTAGTTTGTAAATATTATGATTTTTTCTTCTGTTTAGTCATCAATAATACGCATGATGACAATGAAGATTTGACTAATGAACGTCAATTACTTGGTCAATCGTTTCATACATTACAAGATTTTTATTCACATTCAAATTGGATTGAAATGGGCAAAACTGATATTAATCAATTTATTGGTTTCAACGAAACTATTGGTTCAGTTGCTGGACCTAATCAAACAACATGTACAAATAATGGTTGTACTAAAATAGAAAAATCTTGTGTAATTCTATTCAAATTTAATGACTCATTAACTTGATTTTCTTGTAGACTCTCTGGGAACAAATTACGGTGGGCATTTGTCCACTTGCATATTATGATTGTAAAAACAATATTCTACCAGAAATCAATAATTAACATTTACTTACAAGTGGTTATACTGCAAATGGTGTTAGTGAAAATAATGAAGTGATTGAAAAACCAACAAATGTTGAAAAATGTTCGCATGGTTCAGTACTTGATCAATCATCACATATACCAGCTATTGGTGGAATCAATAAAGATTCATATAGTTTAGTCTTTTCACCTCATTTTGATCTTCAGTAAGTGAACCAATCGCATTTGTAGTGTTATAGTTATGAATCTAAAGAAATTCTATAGCTGTTTAATTGTTTTTCTTTTCTTTTTTTAATATTCTAGTAAACAGGCAGCTGATTTAGCTACAAAAGCAACTGAACAATAGCTCAATGATCTACGTCGAGATATAGGTGATAAAAATTTTGATCGTCTTTTTCTCATTAATCCAACTGGAGCACAATGCCAAATAGCATCAGATTTCATGTCTCAAGGAAAACGATTTCGATTCTTTAGATCAGATCTATCAGCTTATTTGAAAGATGATAATCATTGGTCGACAAAATTAAAAAGATTGTTTAAGAAATTTTTTAAATCATTCAAATTGATATGGAGCGGTGACTTTAGGGAAGAAAATATTAATCAACCAACGTATGATCTGAGTGATCAAGGAGTGAATGTGAAAGATGTGAATAATTTTCGTGCTGCACCATATATTATTGGAAAAGAAGAAGTGAGACGCAAGAAGCGTAATATAGATCTTGCACATAAACATCGATACTTATAGAGCTTATTTTTTAAATATATATCTATTTTAAACATTTCAAATAATGATTATCTCTATGATCTTTATTTCATGTTATGACCAATTCAAAAAGTTTGAAATAAAAAAAGACTAAGAAGAACACGACTTGTATCAAGTAAAGAACCATTAGAGAAATGGTTAATATACGATCACCAATATCAAAGTTTCAATATGTTTCATAATCAACTTTTAAAATATATTAAATGCATGTAATGCATTGTATACTTCACCATTCATAGCACCAATGTCTAGCTAAAAATGAGATTTACTTTTTAAGATTTATTTTTATTTAACAGTTTTAACATTATAATTGAATAGTACAATTTGTGAGATTAATACTAAATATTTTGTTGAATCTATTGAAAAAGATTGCAACAAAACGTTCATCATCACATCAAATAGTACTATCACTATGTCCATATCCTAAAGTTAATTCTCAGTTAAATGAAATTATTTTAATATGAATATAAAAAAAGCATCGATTTATATATTTTTTATATTATCGCATGTTGTTCTTTAAGTTATCTTACTAATAGGTCATACATGTAACTCTTTCCCTACAGTATTCTTCAAAATGGTTTGAACTCTTTGAGTGAATCTAAATCGCATCTGTTGTTAATATTTCATTGAACTGTACACTCATGAAGTCAAAATTTATTTAGTTCTGAATAACGACAACTGTTGGTATAACTTGGTGGGAAAATAAGAGTCATTCTATTAGGTTTAGAATTGGATTTATACTTTAACATATATCAATGAATATTTATGTTCGAGCAAATAAGAAAATGAAAGTCAACCCAAAACAGCCATGTAGTGAAAAGGTTGGTTAGGTGTTCGTAAAGGTCAGGATCATTTAAGCCAAAATAGATTCTAAGGGTTTGCGGTGTAAGCTAAACTCGAATGAAAAATAATACTATTAGTGAAATGTTGTTTTCTAAGGAAGAGAAAATCACATCTCATCAATGGTCACAGCTGTTGTATTTATTATTTCAACAGATGAAAGTTATCTATAATTGCGAATAAAGATTTAGATACTTCAGCGAGATAAACGCTTGGTATATTTTGTAAGATTGACGGCGTGTTCCCATGTCGTCAATTTTTCATCGAAACAGACAGCTCGGATCGCTTATTCCTTTTTTTATCAAGTGTTTTTTGAATTGGTCTATTAAATTAATCTTTTCAGATTTGAAGAGATCGACTTCAAGTCAAAAAAGTTGACTTTAATATACCACAGTACAAGGTGTCCCAAAAAAATGTATAAACATTTCATTTTTTTCGATTTTATCTCTATAGATTGATAGCAAGATCTCATATTTTGAGTACATATACTAGCCTGTAGGAGCCAACTAATTAGCATGTTATTAATATTGGGCTATAGTATTTTGTTGGCAAATGAACGAATGGGTGTGGGTG